GAACACTTGTAGAACGTTCTTCTCCACAATGGAAGGAAGGACTGATGTTCTCAGTGTAAGAATCAGATATCAGAATGTTCTTTGTAAGATGTTCCTGTAACCATAGAACATCATTTGCGTTCCTGAAAACATCCTCTGAATGTTGACATTACAACGTTTTATTAACTTTAGAGGAACATCTCTGGAAATCAGATGCTTCTTTAAACCTTTTTGGAACATTTGACGAGAACATTTTCTTTAAACTCGTAGGTGAGGTTCTCCAACGTTCCCTGCCAGCTGGGACAACGTTCTCCGTCTTCACTGAAGAACGTTCAGTGAAGAACGTTAACTGTTCCGACCAGCGGTGACTCATCTCGTCAGCCAGAAGTGTTGTCATGTGGGTTTTACTTCCTGTTTGGTTTTATTGTCATCGTGTTGCAGCAAGACTTTTTTTTACAGTCCTGCTCAGTGAAGCTCCTGCCGTCACTCTGATCATCGTTACTTCAGCTGTTATATGTTTAATTAAAGGTCGTTAGGTCACACCTTGGTCATGAGCTCGGTGACGATGTGCAGCCCTTTGTGGAGGATGACGCCCAGCAGACGGACCAGGTTCTTGTGCTGCAGCTTCCTGCAAGAAACAAAAAAAACACGTTAAAGCAGCAGCAGCATTTAAACTGATGATAAAATGTGGCTGTGAAAGACATAAGAACTGTTGAATCTGAGGAGGACTCACGTCATCACGGTGGTTTCCTGCAGGAAGGCCTGAGCCGTCACGTCACATTTGATGGTCTTCACCGCCACCTTCTGGCCCATGTACTCGCCTTCATAAACCGCTGAGGGGTGAGAACCAAACACATCTTTATTATCAGCTCTGTGCAGTCAACCAGCTCGTCTTTATTTGAGTTAAAACATCTTCAACCAGCAGCCTCTTGGATGAAGGTGGAACCTCTTTAAGAACCTAGAAGAAGAAGCGTAGAGGGTTTCTTCTTCTTTCTAAGGATTCAAACAGAGGCTCATAAATAAAGACGTCTCACCACCAAACTCTCCTTCTCCGATGTTCTCCCCCAGCGTGAGGTTAGTGATGTCCAGCAGCCATCCAGCTGAAAGACACACGATCAAATAAACCTCCAACACGCTTTAATGATCGTTAATATTAATACTAGATTTACTAAAAAGGATTTTTTTTACTGAAACATTTCTGTGTGTTTACAGCAGCCGTGTAGATGCGTTTTTTATTAAAAGGTGTCGTCTTACTCTTGGACAGCTCCAGCTCTGCGGACTTGGTTCCGTGTTTCTGTTTGGGCTTCAGAAGAGTCGTAGCGATAGAACCTTTGTTCTTGGAGTAAAACTGCAGAGACAGGAGACACGACAACAACATGTTCGGTTATTATTAGATGTTTCTCTGCTGCGATCAAAGCCGGCTTCCTCTGAACTCTTCAAACATTTACAGTTCATGTTGGTTGTGTTAGTGCAGCATAGAGGTGGTGAACAGATGCACATACAGTAAGTAAATGTAATTAATGATTTCTCTAAACTCTCAGAAATACCTGTGTGTTAACAGTAATATAAGATTTTAAATTTTTATTATCAGTTGATGTAATTGTTGTATTTGTTTTGTGTTTGTTTTGAATTTTAGTTCATTATTTTTGTGGAAAAATGAAAGATATATAATTTAATTAAAAAATAATAATTACAGAATATTTGCCAGATTTTAAAAAACATTCATTTAATTTAAGTTTTACAGAAAACTTTTTTAATTCCAGGTCAAATTCCAGGTATTGAGCCGCCAGTACTGTTATGTATTTATTTAACGTTTGTAGTTCTTATACAGTAGATTTAACATTAAATAACAAAAACTGTCCTGCTTCATCAGTTTTTTTTAAACTGTTGATACAATTAATGAATCAACTCATGTTTTAAACTTTTAGGGGGAAAAAAGGTGAGAACATTTTCTGTTTCGCACCACAAACACGATTTAAAAGTAGAAATTTAACCACAGAGTCACCATTAAAATACTGGAAAACGTCTCGTTACCGTGGAAACAGAACATTTTAATTAATCTTAAAGACGAGTTCTCGTGTCGTCAGCTGTCGGTACTGTGTCTGTTATTTCATGGATTTATTTGTTAGCCTGCAGTCTGTCTCTAGACTCATTTATAAACTCACTAAAACGTCTCGTCAGCGTTCTGGAAGCTTTTTAAACGCTGGTCAGGACACGAAGCTCTGAGTTCAGTCCTTCATCAACAGAACCAAGCAGCACCAGCGACCACGCAACGAGCTCCTTCATCGTGACACATCGGTTTTATTTTACTGGAGCGGCTCTGACTCGACCAGATGCTCAGCTGTCAGCCGCTCTGACTCAGGACTGAAGCCATCTGCGGCTCGACGATAAGACGCTGCTGAGCGAAGGTCTGAGGAGAAGATCAGCGAAGCTCGCTGCACTGATAAACCATAAAAGGGCTGAAGCTCGCTGTGTCTGCTGCCTGACGGGTTTCAGGGTGACGAGCGCTTCCTCTATAAATACTCTGGTGTTTGTAAAAGGAAGCAGCGTCGACACATGACCTCTGATCACAGGCCTCGGCTCAGTCACCAGAACCACTCACTGACTTCTGCAATCAACACTTCAGTCTGCAGTGACTTTGAGACTGCAGTGAAGTTTAGCAAACAAATTCTCTTCAGCTGTTTTCTCTTTTGCAGATGATTCAACACCTTAAAAACTTCTATTAAATGTCTCCTCACAGTCCGTTAGCTGTTTGTTCTGTTTGCACTTTGGAGAAGATTCTGCTCGGATCGCTCTGCAGAACACGACGCCAGCGAGTTCTGTGCACAGTCATGCAAATGGTGGCAGAAGAGGGCAGTAGATCTGCTCAACATGCTGAATCCAAG